GCACTAAAAACACCCATCCCATCCCGGTCCTGAGGAGCTCAGCCCTGCTTCTAAACCCAGGGCATCAGTTCTCACCAGAGTGGCCTTTGGTCAGTGTTTCTCAGTGTGGCTGGTAGCCCACAGCCTCACGACTGCCAGAGAGCTCAGGGCCCAGGGGCACAGCATATGAAACAAGCTCCTGGGTGACTCTGCAGCACTCTCAGGGGCCTGAGAACCTCGAGGAGAAGCAGCAAGGGAGGGTGGGGCAGAAAAGGCACAGGCCGCTGAGCTGAGCGGACTTGGGTTCAAGTCCTGGTTTTGCCACATGTAAGTCTTACTAATTTGGACAAGAGACTTTGCCCGTCTGGGCCTTGGTGTCCTTGTCTATAAAATGGTAAAGCGACCTCACATACTAGGCTGAGGCGAGGGTAAGACAGGCAAATGCAGCCAGGCATGGTGGCACACGTCTGGAGTCCCAATCAACTCAGGTGGCATGAGCCTGTCGTCCCAGCTACTTGGACCACTTGAGCCCAAGAAGCCACTGCATTCTAGCCTGGGTGACAGGAGAGGCAAATGTGTGCGGTGGCCCAGCATGCCACTTGGCACTCAATGTAGGCCGCTGAGGGTGACGGGACAGAAGGCACGGTCAGGGGGAAGAGAAGGCGGAGAAGGTGCAGAGCCTACAGAGGGGCCGACTCTGGGCTCTCTGCTGGGCAGAAGAGACTCCTGGGGAAAAACGAGTGGAAGAGACCCGGGAGCCCAAGAGAGATAGCCAGAAGCCTGACTCCGAGAGACCTCACACCCATGCGACCCTGCCCAGCAGCACCTAGGGGCTCCACAGGACGAGACTGCCAGGCCTGAAGCCTCTCCTCGCTGAAACCCACCCTGAGGTCATCTGTGCACCAAAAGAGCATCTCGCAACCCGGGTGGCAGGGTGGCCTTCCGCCTGCCCACCTACAGGGCTAAAACTCACAAGAAACATTCCAAAAGGACCAAGACCAAGGCTTCCTCCAGGCACAGAAAGGGTAAACCAAGTCAGGCCCTGCCCGTCCCTGAACGTCCAGGAAGTGCTTGACTCAGACCCAACTTGGCTTGACTTGTATGTGTGCCCTGGATCCAGATGGCAGTGGCCAAAACCGGGAGGCCAAAGCATCTCAGGCTGGCCCTGCTGTTCTCTCCCAGCTCTCCCTGGCAAGGAGGAGGAATTCAGATCTCAGATGGGCAGGACCTGCGCTGGGCACGGTGGCTCACACCTGTAATCCCAGCACTTTGGGAGACCGAGACAGGATTATCACTTGAGCCCAGGAGTCCAGCCTGGGCAACATAGTGAGACCTCATCTCTGCAAATAATTTTTTAAAAATTAGCCAGGCATGACGGCCTGCCTGTAGTCCCAGCTACTCAGGAAGCTGAGACAAAAGGATGGCCTGAGCCCAGGAAGCTGAGGCTATGGTGACCTGTGATCATGCCACTGCACTCCAGCCTGGGAGACAGAGTGAGAGACCAACTCAAAAAAAAAAAAGATGCACAAAACCTGCTGCTTCCTGCTCATGTCACTGCCCAGACGAGAGACTTCAGCCCAGGGCTCCCCTCTCCAGGGGACCGAGTTCCTCAAAACCAACAGGAAACTCCTACAGGGCAGGACCAGGGTTGGCTGACCTTGTCCCAATAAACAGGAGAGCAGACAGGATCACCCAGCAGGCATTTCCCACCTCCATCCACTGCTGCGGTGAATGCCAGACAACCAGCTCAAAATTCCCAGCACAGCAGGGGGAGAGGGGCAGGGAGGAGTCTGGGGGTGGGAGGATGCAATGGCCCAGTTAAGGGTGTGCTTTCTGCGGATTCCACATGATCTAGCTACCTCTCACCTGGGCAAGAGATCTAGAGGATACCATTCAATGAGACAAAAGCAAGCTGTGAACTGGTTACTGGAATATGACCTCCTTTTTAAAAAAATAAGCAAACGGTAGTCATAGATATGGAAGAACATACTCCTCCCCAGTCCCATCTCTGAATACTTTCTTTTTTTTTTTTTTTTTTTTTT